CTCGTTGCGCCATTCCCCTCGTCTTGTTTCTCCTCACCCCTCTTCCTTCTCCCTCCCTGCTCATCCTCTCCTCCTCCTGCTGCGGCTCTTCTCCCCCAAGCCCGTTGCCTCGCCCCTCCCTTTCCCCCCTCCTTGCCTGCCAGTGTCCCGCCCCGGGCAGGGCAGGGGGCCGGGAGGCAGCATCAGTCGGGGGCGACACGTAGGAGGAGGAGGAGGAGGAGGAGGAGGAGGAGGAGGAGGAGGAGGAGGAGGAGGAGGAGGAGGAGGAGGAGGAGGAGGAGGAGAAGAGATATCATGGAGCGGGCCATGATATCTCCTCAGACTTCATGGCGCCTCTTCTTGTTTCATGACGTTCCTGGTCCCCCCCCGGGGCTGCGCACGTGCCGCTGGCCAGGATTTTCGCCCCCCCCCCCCCCCCTCTTGGACGCCTGGACGCCCCCCTCTTGGCCGCCCCCGGATCAGATGTGAGAGAGGCTCTTGGCTTTGCCCGAAGGTCTACGCCACAAAGCGCTTGCCTCTGTGGAAGCTGTCGGACGAGATGTACCTGAATCGGCAGTTGGCTCCCGACCCCACTGCGCCGTGGCAACAGGCGAGGCCCGAGGAGGAGGAGGAGGAGGCGGAGGAGGAGGAAAGGCGACACAAACACCAGTAGGGGGCCCACCTCCAGCGAGGAGGCCCACGACGCCTCCACGAGCTGGAGGCTGGGGATGCCTCCAGCGAGGGGGGGGGGACCACGCCAGCAGGGAGACCCCCCTTTGCCTCCTCGCATCTCCTCGCCCCCGTGGTGCTGGCGTCGCCTTTCCTTGGTCCAAGCTGTGCTGCTCTCCCGCTCCTCGTCCTGGATTTTTTGTCCGCTGCTGCCATCGCGCTTCTGAGCATCGACGGCGCCCAGGACGAGGAACAGCCGCCCCCTGTCTTCTGGAGGCGCCTTTGTGGCCGGGTGTTGGCCAGAGTCTGGCCAGGCTGTCGCCAGTGGCAGATGTCTCGCGGGGGTGCCCAGACTTCTCAACAGCCAATTGTTGGCTCCTGGTTTGTCTCTCTGGTGGGGTTCGGCTGACTTTTTGTCGAACGTCGTCTCGGCATAGCCTCTGGAGGGCCTCTGGGCGGCCCCCGAAGTGCCCGAGCATAGCCACGCAGAGCCTCGGAGAGGCCCCCACGGGTACCCCCCCAGATGGTCGCAGCAGTCCCTACGGCAGCCCCGAAAGGCTTCAAGGACTCCACTTCTCTCGCGTCTTTCTTCTCGAGATCCTCTTCCCCCATTTTGTTCGTCGTCCTCCTCCTAGTCGCCCTCTTTATCGTAATGTCCTCCTCATTGTCCTCCACGCTACTCTTCATGTTGTCTTTCTCCTAGTCGTCCTCCCACTCGTCCTCGTCATCACCCGCCATCTCATACTCTCGCGAGCCCTGCCCCCCATAACTTCGTCCCCGCCCTCCCCCTCTCCTCATCCACGTTGCCCCCCTCGTCTTCCACGCCGCCCTCCTACCCCTCCTCGTCACGGTTGTCTTCCTGCCCATCCTCGTTCACCTCCTCTTCGCTCTCTTCGTCCTCGCTCCTGCGCTCCGTAGATATTTTGTCTCGAGCTTATGTTGCTCCCATCGTACTTAAGGACCGAAAGAGCGTGTTCTACCGCTGGTGGTCACTGGGGGTTCCTAACCCGCCACCCCCTCCCCCCCCTCGAAAACCGGGGGGGGTCACTACTGGTTCGAACCCCCCCCCCCCAAAGTCCATCATGGAAAGGGGTGGGGTTCACTACCGGTTCGAACCCCCCCCCCTCCTCGAAAACCGGGGGGGTCACTACCGGTTCGATGCCCACCAACCCCTCCCCCCCTCGAAAACCGGGGGGGTCACTACCCGTTCGAACCCCCCCCCTCGCCGCTGGCAAACGATGCCCGCTCATCGGGACAGTTAGAGAATGGTGGGGATGTTGGGACAGAGGTGGGAACGGTGGTGGTGGGGACAGTGGTGCGGGGACAGTGGGACAGTGGTGCGGACAGTGGTGGGGACGGTGGTGGTGGGGACAGTGGTGAGAAGACAGCGGGACAGTGGTGGGGACGGTGGGATAGTGGTGGGGACGGTAGTGCTGGGGACAGTGGTGAAGGCGGTGGTGAGGACAGCGGTGGGACAGTAGTACAGTGGAGAAAGTGGTGGGGACAGTGGGGACAGTGGGACAGTGATGGGGATGGTGGGGACGATGGGACAGCACAGTGGGGCAGCGGTGGGGACAGTGTGACAGTGGTGGGAACAGTGGGATAGTGGTGGGGACCGTGGGGAAAGTGGGGAGAGTGGGATTGTGGTGGGACAGTGGCGGGGAGAGTGGGGACAGTGAGACCCTGGTGAGGGCATTGGTGGGGACAGCGGGGACAATTGTGGGAACAGTGGGGACAGTGGGACAGTGGTGGGGACGGTGGTGGTGGGGACAGTGGTGTGGGGACAGTGGGAATGTGGTGGAAACAGTGGGACAGTGAAGGGTACAGTGGTGGTGGCGACAGTGGTGAGGGCGGTGGCGAGGACGGCGGTGGGATAATGGGACAGAGGTACAGTAGGGACAGTGGTGGGGACAGTGGGGACAGTGGTGGGAACAGTGGGACATTTCAGTGGGACAGCGGCGGGGGCAGTGGGACAGTGGGACAGTGGGACAGTGGTTGGCCGTGGAAAAAGTGGGGACCGTGGTGGGGACAGTGGGGACAGTGCGACAGTGGTGGGGGCACTGGTGAGGACAGTGGCGACGGTGGTGGGAACAGTGGGGACAGTGGTGGTGAGGACAGTGGTGCTGGGGACATCAGTGGGGGATGTGGTGCGGACGGTGGTAGGGACCCAGAGCTGTTTGCTGGCGGTGAGCGTGGTGGGGGGGGGAGAGGGGGGAGGGGTCCGGACCGGCAGTGACCACCTCCAGTTTTCGAGGGAGGGGGGTCTCGAACTGGTAGTGACCCCCCTCGGTTTTCGAGGGGGGGGGTTCGAATCGGTAGTGACCATCCCCGGTTTTCGAGGGGGAGGGGGGGGAGGGTTCGAACCTGTAGTGACCCCCCCCGGTTTTCCGGAGGGGGGGGGGGTTCGACCCCTCTCTGGTTTTCTGGGGGAAGGGGGGGGGGTTTGAACTGGTAGTGACCCCTCCCGGTTTCCGGGGGGGGGGGGGGTTCGAACGGGTAGTGACCCTCCCCCCCGGTTTTCCGGAGGCGGGTGGGATTGGGAGAGGGGGGGGCTTTGCCGGGGGGGAAGAAGGGGGGTCCAGCAGGGGGGGGATTTTCGGAGGGGGGGTTACCCCCGAGTTCCGGAGGAAGAGGGGGGGAATTCTACACAGTAAAGCCGCGGTGGATCACGCTCTGTCCACGGACCACATCCCAGAAATAATTCTGAGCACCCGGACAAGTGCCGAAACAGTGCCGAAACAGTGTCGGACGAGTGTCTCCCAGGGCCCGACGAGTGAAACACCTCGAGTTTCGGTACTTCCTCGGTGCTCGAAATCTTCTCTGGTGGTCAAGGCTAAAGCAGCTTGGAACATCCTACACCTTAGGCGATGCTTAAGAAAACTTAAATTTTCGGCCAGAGTCTCGTTTATTCTTAATGTTTCAATGTAAATCCTAAGATTTGAATGGATTTTTGGGGTTTTTATTCAACTTCTGAGACTATGAATTTCTTAACCCATGATTTCTTAAGCATTTCGCAGGGTGTATCTGGCCCGAGGCGCCCGACGGTCGCTCACAGCACCGCCCCTCTCGGCACTTGGCCCGCGTCGGCGCGCTCCGGCGTCGGCTCCCTGGCCCGGGCCGCGGCGGCCGCGCGGCTGCTGTCCGCGACCCTCGCTTTATGATGTTCCAGCCTGCCTTAGCCTTGACCACCAGAAAGAATTTCGAGCACCAAGAATCAGAGCCCCGAATCATCAGGGGTAACTCGGGTCAGGGATAATTCGGGTTCGTTTCTCGGGAATCCAAACCCGAGTTACCCCGGACCCGAGTTACCCCGGATAACTCGGGCGTCCAGAGCCCCGAATCATCAGGGGTAACTCGGGTCAGGGCTAACTCGGGTTCCTTTTTCGGGAATCCAAACCCGAGTTACCCCGGACCCGAGTTACCCCGGATAATTCGGGCGCCCAAAAGAAAGTACCGAAACTCCAGGTTTTTCACGTGTCGGGCCCTGGGAGACACCCGCCCGACACTGTTTCGACGCTGTTTCAGCGCTGTTTCGGCACTCTTTCCACACTCTTCCAGGTGCTCGAAATGATTTCTGGGATGTGGTCCTTAAGTACGATGGGAGCAACATAATCCTCTCGCCGGCCTTCGCCGGCACGAGGGCCCTGACTGTTGCACGGGGTGACCGCGTGGCCAGGCAAGCCGGGTCCGAGGTCATGCCCGCCGCACCCATCGATCGGCGGCCGTTATCGCGGGGTCATCGACGAGAGCACCACGGTCGAGTCGTGTCTCACCCAAGGCCAGGAGGATCTTCGAGGTCGACCAGAGGATTTCCTCCTCGACAACGATTTCGCCGTCTACCTGGAGGAGGACGAAAGCAAGCTTATCTCCGGCAAGATCTCGGATCACACCGAGCTGCGCCCTTGGGGGCCAGACGCCATCGCGTTCTACATATACAACGAGCCGAGTGAGCTGAGCAAGTTCGCCCTGCTTGGTAGGGGTGGTGAGCGAGGATTTTACAGAGCGCGCTCATCCCCCTAAACAACATGCTCATCGTCCTTGTGCTTGTCATCCTCCTTGTCCCTGTTCCCCCCTCGCTTTCCCCTCGTCCTCCACGCTGTCCTCCTCGTTCGCCTACTTGTCGTCCTCCGTTCTATCACAATTCCTTCTTCGAGACAGGTTGACGCAAGTGGCGCTTCCCCCTTCTGTCTCGTCCGTTTCCGTAAGGAGGCAAGCGATGGGCCTTGATCGCAGACACTGTGTGGTCCGTTTTTACCAGCCTGGAACAGATCCCTATCCCTATGCTGGGCACCTCCTCATCACGATGGCAATCTTAGGGATTCCCTTATTTTTAAGGGCGAATCCCTAAGATTGTCATCGCCTTGTGGCGTGTCAATCTGAGGGATAGGGATACGCTCGAGGCTGGTAGCTTTTCTCTGCGTCGTCGGGGCGGGTTGTCTGATGACCCCCGGGCGCCCCGCCTCTGCCTCCTCGGCCTCCCCTCGTGTGGCTCGCCGAGAGCGAGCCCGCAGCCGTTGGCCCCAACGACCCAAGAGGGGCATCGCTCGGACGTGTCTATTTATTCCTCGGCGAGGACCCTTGAGGAGCATCCTGGATCATTTGGCGGAAAAGCCACGCACGAAACCGAACAAAAACACAGGGAATGGACGTCCGAGCGATGCCCAGGGGCTCGCCGAGAGCGAGCCCCCAGCCGTTGCCCCGACGACCCAAAAGGGGGCCTCGGGGCTTCGGTGAGGCTCCAGGACACTCTCAGGAGGCTGCGGAGAGGTCCGAAGGTCGAGACTTTCAGGAGGCTCCAGGATACTTTCAGGAGGTCCGAAGCTGGATCTGTGAGATGCCAGGAGTGCTCCGGGAGGCGCCGTATCGCTTCGATGACTCACGAGAGACGCTGCCCCCGGCGATCGCCGGGAAGGTGGAAACCTCGAGCATCTTGAGTTTTGTTTGGCGACCCAGGCGCAACTGGGCATCCCAAGCTGTCCTGGACGGCCTCGAGATGATCCGAAGACAGGCCCATGACCACTCCAGGGTCCGATTCGAGACATCGTCCGGAACCCGGCAAGGCAGCTCCAGAGGAGCCCACGACCAAAGCAGAGAGATCGTGTTTCCGCATCCGGGTCTCAGAATCCGCACGCGAACCTGGCGCGTGCGTAAGCACTGCTCCAGGACGGAAGTCCAGATCGCACGCTTGCATACCTCCCATGAGGAGTCCTAACGTCCTAACCTTAAGTCGGGCCTGTCCCTCTACAGGAGGAATATTCAAAAATAGTAAAAAAAAGTCGGGGGACGATTTGTTGACCATTTTTGAGTATTTTATGGTATTTTCTGACCATTGTTTTTTTCGTCCCGAATCCCTCTGTAGGGGGACAAGCCCGACTTCATCCTAACCCCCTATCACCCCCTGCCCGTTCTCCTGCTGCTGCGCGGCTGCTCCCTCCGCCTGCTCCCCCCCCCCCACTTCCCTTTCTCGCCATCCTCTCCTTCGCGTCCTCCCGTCCGTCATGCACAAACATGTACCTATAATATACAGGCGCATACAGCTCTACATATGCATATACCTGCAACTATGAATAACCGTATGCAGATATAAGCATATATGTATATATACAAAGAGATACACACAGGCACCCGCCACTGGATTGTTCCTGGGCCTCAAGGGAGGGTGGCGATGCAGAAATCACCACTCGGAGCCAACGACTTTATACACCGCCGCCCTCCCTGAAGGTACACGCAACGTTCGTCGGAGGGTGTCTGTCCTCCTCCTCCCGGCGCCGTCACCGCCCCCTGCCCCCGCCAGCCTCACCCTGTACAGCAAAAGCGCTGAAATGAGGACCTCCCTGAGCTCGGGAGGGGCTTCGGTTTTCAGGCCGTTCCTTAGATCTACGCAGGTCGAAGAAGCTCTCCGTGGCCAAGGCTCGCCGTGGCCAGAAAAATCCCTTTCGTTCCTTCTTTGGCGTTCCTAGTGGTGACGCGATGACTGTGGTTCGTTCCGCCAGAGCTCCCGAGGGTCCTCCAAGTTGGGGGGCGCGAAAGGGGGGGGGCGATGCATGGGGGTGGCAGAGAAGGCTTCAGAAAAGGGGCCATTTAGGGCCCCTGAAGGGGCTCTTTGGGCCCCCACTGAGGGCCTGTAGGGTCCGAAATAGGGCACCTTTCTCTCCCCCCCCCGTTTATCGCTCCCCATTACTTCGTGCCCCAAATGACCTCGTATTCTTCCTTAGGACCTCCCTGCATTGGGCGGGGCAGCAGGCTCGGCGGCTGCGCGGTCCCGCGCCCAGGTCAAAGTGCACCAGCAGCGGATGATCGAGAAGGTCCGGCAGCAGCAGCTGAAGGTTCCCCGTGCTCCGCCCGGAGGCGGTGGAGGGAGAGGTGCAGTCAGAGGAGCTGGAGTCTGAGGGCACCGTCGGACGGGGCTGGGACGAGAACGAATCCGTTCAGAGCGTTCTGGAACGCTCTTAGAGCCTTCCTCTTAGAGTGCTCTGGGAGGGCCACGGCGTCCGAGACATCCTCCAGAGCCGCCAGATCGCTGAGATTCTCGACTTCTCCTCACCCGAATTTATCCTCGTCCTGGCCTCGTCTTACAGGTTTACGCCTACACCGATCCTGTCCAAGCCGATGCTGGGCCCAGGATGGGCCTGGCCAGGGTCGGCGTTGGCGTATACTTGGCGCCCAGCTTGAGAGGTCAGCATTCAGCGAGCGCGTTCCACTATTCGCAAATACCTGCTCGCAAAGGTTAACAAACACACATGGTTGCCTCGCTCGAATGGGTCGTAAATTCCCCGCTGCTGATCCAGGCCCTGTGCGAGTAGTTACTTTGCGAGTAGTGGAACGCGCTTGTCTAATGATATTGATGCGTTCCAGGATGTTCCGGGGTACAGTGGGGTCATGTTTTTTTTTCGCTCCGCGCGCTGCGCGATGATTTTCCGCAGCCGTTGTAGAAGCTGTTGCGTCCAGGGCGCTCCGGGTTTCCCCTCAGGTGCACCTCGCGCGCCGGTTTTCAGGGCTGGGTTTTTTGCGAGGGTTTCTTGCGGTTGCGCCCGCACTGCACCCAGGGTCGGAGACAAGGAAGAGCGCATTAGACGAGGGTTGCCAGATGCTCTCCAGAATTCTGGAATGTATTCTGATTGGGCGTCGCGTATCTGATTTTTCATTCGGCGGTGAATCGGATTTGCCCTGAGGCATCAACCAACATCGCCTTTAACCCGGCCTTGGGGAGTACTAGTAGTCGTCGTGGTCGTAGTCGCAATCGTAGTCGTAGCTGTCGTCATCGTGGTTGCGCGGCGGGTGCCGCGGAACAAGAATAATTGGCTAGTTACCCCCTCTTGGTGGGACCCCGGTCCGTGCATAATGCCGCCGAACAACAGATAGTTAGTTACTCCCTGTTAAAGCCTGTCTCGGGAGGGCGATAAACAGGGCTCGTTTCGATTCCTCCGATTCGATTCGATTCGATTTCGATGGTTTCCGATTCCGATTCGATTCGATCTGGGATTCCGATTTGAGTTCCGATTGCTTGTTGGAGGCATACTAGCCTGCCGATTTCTGCCGATCCGACTTTTCCCGACTCAGCTGCCGATTTCCGACGATCCGATTCATGTCGATCGCCGATCCGACTTGTCGATCCGATCCTGGGCTCTCCTGGATAAATCGGCGACGCCAAAAAACAGAGTCGTCTTCGCCGACATTCGCGCGAAACCTGCGTTGTGCGTGAGCGCCCTCGTCTCTCCGATGCAGCGTGCCGCGCCGGCGGCCCGCGTATAGGCTGCCGCGGGAGCTCTCATTGCGTCTTCTCTCGCACGGCCCAGTGTTCTGTTGCCCGAGTGCGGGGTAGCGAGGGCTGCAGAAAGGGGGCCCCTATCGGTCCCTGAAGGGGCCATGAGGGCCCACGAGGAGACCTCTAGAGCCTGGGGAGTACATCTTCCCTCCCCGCAGTTATCGCCCCCCCCCCAAAAAAGGCGACGCCGAATCTGAGCCACTCGCATCGTGATCATGTCATCGTTCTCATCTTGGACGAGGCGGAGGGAACGGATGAGGAGTACCAGGGTACAGACAGGGAGGCGGAGAGGGTGCATTGTCGCCCCGCACGCTGCAGATTTTGGGAACCCGCATCCGGGGGTGGCGTGCGGGTTTGCCGGGCATCTAGGCCTCGCCAATGCTCTGCTCGGCTTGCCATTCCGCAGTGCATGGGCATCGCACAGGAGCGGCCGTGCGGTGTGGGGAGGCGCGGCGTCCCGCCGTCTCCCCGCCCTCCTCTGCCGCCCCGTCCTCCCGTCCCTCCCTCGGCCGCTTCCTCCCCTCCGCAGGACATGGCGAGATTCGAGAGGGAGCTCGCGGGGAGCCGCCTGCCTCCCACGTGCCCCTCCGGGGGGGGCAGGGCGGGCGCGCTCGCGTCTGGGGGTCCGTGGGCGGCCAGGGCCCCCAGGAGCCGAGGGGGAGGAGCCGCGAGGACCACAGGACCGCTGAGGACAGAGGGCCCCGGACCCTGATAGCACGATGAAGACGTGGCCTCGCTGAGGGCCCCGTCCTTGCATGAGGGATGGTGGATGTGATGGGCGGTGTCGTTTTGCTGCCCCTGCAGCAGAGACCCCCCAGCCCCAATGTTTTTTTGGCCCATTTGCTGGCTGGCCCCCTCCCAAAGGGTTAGGGACACTTGTTTGGTTCATCGACCATGACGAAGATGTCGCGGGATCTTGTCGACGCCAATCTTGGCCGTCGCCGGTTCGCGAGGATGCTCCACGAGTTGACGATGACCGAGGTCGAAGATGACCCCGATCGACACGAGCGTTGCCGCGTTCGGTCTTGGCCATGGTCCTCAGCTTTTGCCTTTCGCGGAGAAGGACGAGGAGGCCGAGGAGGAGCGACGACCGTTGCCGCGCTCTCTTCATCGCTTATCAGAGGAGCGCGGTCAGTCGCCTGCCCCAGCCGCTGGCCGCTTGTCGGTCAGGAGTGCCTGACGACGCGGTGTGGGTGGACGGGAGCAGGAGAGGGAGCAGGAGCAGGAGGAGGAGGAGAAGGAGGAGGAAGGGTGATGACCCCTTTTACCCTTGCTCGGGGGATGAGTTTACCCCCTCCCTCCCCGCCCTTTCGAATCGGCACGCCTTTCCGCCACAAAAAATATACACAGGCACCCTCCGACGGATTGCTCCTGGGCCTCAGGGGCGGGTGGCTCTGCGTAAGTCACCGTTGGGAGCCAGCGACTTTTTACGTTGCTGCCCTCCGTGAAGGTGCATGCAACATTCGTCGGAGGGTGTCTTTTTTATATAATATATATATATATATATATATATATTATATATATATATATATATATATATATATATTCTCGTGGCGTAACAGCAAACCCCACCGCCAGAGCCAGGGTTGTCATCAAGAGCCCGCCCTCGTGGTTATTACCGAGGCCATCCTCCGCCGGTCTCCGCCCATCTGGTCCTCTTCCTCCCTCCCTCGTCTTCGTCCTCCGCCTCAAACAGGCTATCCAGTGGAAGCTTGCAAGGGCCCAGTCAACTGAAATATTAGTCACCACCACAATTACAGCGGCCTCGAAAAACTTCAAGGCTGGGTGTCAGCCGCGAACGGGTAAAGTCTGAAGCGGAGATTCGCCCCGCGGCTGGGGTAGCCGCTCTTTAACCTCGTGGCTCCCCAATTAGTTTTAGACGGCTATGAAGACCGTTCGATCTACGTTCCTTCTCCTTGTCCTCCACCCCTCCTACTCTCAAGAGCTGAGGTGGTGATTTGTGTCTGTTGGGAGCGTTCAGGTTTGTGCCTGCCCGATCTCACTTTTACAGAGGTCGGGCTCTCTTCAGGAAGGGGCATATGACACGAGCCTGTTTCTTTATTGCTTCGGCCATACCCCGCGTGATGGGGTCCCCGCTACCCCCCCCAAAACGCAACGCCTTGGCCCCCAGTGCGCCCCCGGCACTCCCGCCGTGCGCACAGGGAGCCGCACAGTAATCCGAGGAGACGTCCGCAGAGGCATCCCCACAGAAAAATCAGTAGATTCGGGCTCCGCGTGGCGATTCGCACAGAGATGTCCATCGGGATCCGCACAGGGCTCCGCATCGGGATCCCCGGGGATCCTCATGCTCTCCACAACTCGAAAATTCGTTGCCCTTCGTTGCCAACCGTCGTCGTCGTCGTCGTCGTCGCTCGTCGTCGTCGTCGTCGTCGTCGTCGTCGTCGTCGTCGCTCTTCGTTGTCGGTCGTCGTCGTCGTCGTCGTCGTCGCTCTTCGTTGTCGGTCGTTTTCGTCGTCGTCGTCGCTCGTCGTGGCCGTTGTCTTCGTCGTCGTTATCATCTTCGGGGTCGCCGTCGTCGTCGTTGTCGTCAGTCGTCATTGTTTGCAGTCGCTCGTCGTTGTCAAACGCTATCGAATGATCTCGAGGGCCTCTGGAGGCCGTCAGAAGACCTCTGTAAGGCCTCTGGAGGCTTCCAGAGGACTCAGGAGGCCTCCGAGGCCTCGGGAAACCTCTGGAGACCTCCGGAGGCGTCGCTCGTCGTCCTCGTCGTCGTCGTCGTCGCCGTCGCCGTCGTCGTCGCTTGTCGTCGTCGTCGTCGTCGTCGTAGTCGTCGTCATGGTTGCTCGTCGTCGTCGTCGCCGTCGCCGTCGTCGCTCGTCGGTGGCGTGCGCGCGAACGCTGCGGTAGCGCCAGAACCACACTGGGGGGGGGGGCGTTCCGTTTTGCCCCCTCCCGCCCCCCTCATAACTCAGGAGAGGAAACAACACAGACACAATTATTCGTCGATTCCCCAGAAAATATGGGAACATATGGGAAGTGGGGGGGAAGACAGAAACCCAGAAAATATGGGGAACTATTTTTTTATTTGTGTGTATTTATTTGTGTGTCCTGGGGCCCCTTCAATAACACCCGCTGTCGCCGCGCACACAGAGACGCGCTCCAAGCATCGCCCGTTTGAGACGATGTGGTGCCGTATGTGGCAGCACCTGCATCAAGTCACCACTTTATCATCAGGAGTGTCAGGCGAGCGGCGATGCTTGGAAGCTCTGACTGTCAGCTTGAGCTTTGGCCAAACAGCTATGTTGAAAATCGCGTCTCTGGTGGCTTCCGCAGAACCTCGCGCTCCCCTCGTGGGGTGTTTGTGAGCGTTTGTGGACCTCTCTGCGTGCCTGTATGCGCCTGCGACTGCTTATACGAACTCCTGAGCGCCCGTGAGTCATTGCGAGTGCGTGTGAGGTCCTGCGAGTGCTCGTGAGGGCCTGTAGCTGCTTGTGGACGATTGCGAGCGCCTCTGAGTGGCTCTGCACGCTTGTCGGCACTTTCGGGCGAGGGTTACCGCTTGAGCGCCAACACTTATCAGCGCGGCCATTTTTCCTTCGAGCGACGCAGCACTCGAGGCAGACATGACACAGCAGGAGGAGGAGAAGGAGGAGGAGGAGGATGCCAAGGACAGGGTGAACGAGAATGTGGCGGGGAAAGTGAAGTGGGAGCGGCGGGGGAGAGAGAGGAGGGAAGGGTGGAGCAGGCGGAAATGGAAGAGGTTGAGGAGGAAAACTAGGTTGAACAGTAGAAGGGAAGGGCTAGGTTGATGAACAGGCTGTGCAGGAGGTGGGGGAGGGGGAGAGGGAGAAGGAGGAGCCGCAGCCGCATACGCAGGAAGATAACGATGAACAGGTGGAGGAAGAGAGCGCGTGCCTACGAAAGAACCGTTCGAGAATCGCCCCCTGCTCCCTGCTCGTCCTGTGAGGATGGGAGGGTGGACGACGTGGGATCAACGAGGCCGCCGTTGCGCTTTGGGGCCCGGGGGGGCAGCCTCCGACCCCAGTGGCCGGAAGGTACAAAGTGAGCGACTTGCAGCCCGGCATGTGGCTGGAGGGGCGGGTCTCATTGACCAAGAATTACGGCGCGCCCCGCGGACGCATGTAGTCGTTCTAGTCGTTCTTCGTTGTTGCAGAGGGTGGGGCTAAAGGAAAGGGTGGTGGTGGTGATGGTGAGGACGAGGATGAGGATGATTGATGATGATGGCGGGCGGTGACGCCGTTGATGCTGTGGGAAACGGTGATGGTGGTGGCCAGTGCATATGGGAAGCGAGTCCCGAGCAGAGCCAGCACGCACTGCGACCACGGCGATCACGACGACGACGACTGAGATGAGGCGCGCCTACGATTCACACCAATGCACGGATTCGGGGGAAGGTCCACCCTGCAAGGTTCGGTACACAGCACATTGTTGAGAGGTGCTGATCCCCCCCTCCCCGGCACAGGCCCCCCCCCCCACGCCAGCCATACGCTTCGGGTTTACACCTGCATGCCCTGCTGACCCTGTGGGTGGGCGGATTTCAAGGGAGGAAAAACCACCCGGACCAGACAATTGGCGCTTACTAAACGGCCTTGGGCGTTTACTAAACAGCCCTGCCTTAGGTTTTACTGCCCTCTAGAATGGGTGTGTACTTAACGGTTTGGATTTTCTGCCCTCTAGGATTGGCACATTCTCCCCCAACCTCGTCAGGGCCACCGACAAGTCAGAATTCGGCGCCCCAGAGCCGACAAGCTTTATGCGCCGCGGCTCAGAGAGCGGGAACGGCATATGGCCAGACGGGCAGCCAGGCGACGTGTGCAATGTCTGGCAGGCCAAGCGGGCAGTGATGATGGCGTCGCCGGTCATGAGGACCGACGCACCCCAGAGCCAGCGTTGCGTGAGGCGCTCCATAGCCCAGCCATGGCTGCCCGGCGAGCACACAGGAGCCATCGCCGTGAGATCAGGCATGCCGCAGCCGTGCGGCTGCTTCTGTCTCGTCTCGCATCCTCCACCCGGCGTGAGTGCGTCCCGGCCACTGCTGCACTGGCTTGCTCTCTCCCCCTCCTCGATGGGAGTACGCCGCGGCCTTCAGCGTCTTGCGCCGCCCACGTGTCGTGAATGTGCCACCGCATTGCTGCGGTGGCCTGCATTCTCGCCCTTTGGCACTGCGCCATAGCCGGCGCTGCTTGCATTCTTCCACGGTCTGGGCTGTGCCGCGGCCTTCGGCGCAGCTGGCGCCCTTCCGCTGCCTGAGAGGTGCCGCGGCCGCCAGCCGCACGAGGTCCGATCCCCCCGCCTGTCCTCGCGGGCAAGAGGCGGCGAGGAGAGCACTCCTCGAGGGGAAATGCGCGACAGCTCAAAGTGGAGCCACGACCAGCACGCAGCAGCACTTGTTCGACGATTGATGCCTTGACCGCAAGGCTGCCCGCGGCGCTGCCGTGCCCGCCTCGACCTCGATCTTCAGCGGCGCGACTTCGGCGGGGAATGCCACGCGGCGTACCTGGTCCCGCGCGACTGCAGTTTCGCCAGGGTCCTCCAGCCACAGATCCGAGCGCGGCTGCAGAGCGTGGACCGTGCCGAGCCCGGCCCTTTGGCGGGCCTCCTCGACAACGGCACCCTCTGAGGCCACGGCCGCGGCCAGGCCTTCTGGAGGTCTGTGGGGGTGGCCTCGACGTCCACATTTGTGCCCTCTTCCATGGCGGGCTTATTTTCCACCACCACCACCATAAGTGGGAGGGGAGGGGGTCCTCCTCCTCCTCCTCCTCCTCCTCCTCCTCCTCCTCCTCCTCCATTACGTTCCTTGTGTGGACAAAATGCCGCCTACTCGGAGGCCAAGTTTCTACGAGGACAGCGCTTGGATGGACGTAAAACAGTCTGTGCGCGGTATTTGGGACCACGGATTCATTCACGTTTTGCTTCGTGTGAGATTGAGTACAGATTGCACGTTGGCCGGACAGCCTGGCACAACCTTTCCAGGTTTTGGCAGAGTGCAGTTCCAGTTTGTTGGAATATCAACATGCTCAAAGGCTACGTTGCGAATGCCTGTTGCAGTGGAGCAGAAGTCTCCTGTGCGAAAACAGGCCCTATGCGGCCTCAGGACTGGCAGCCAATTCTCAGCCTCCTTGCAGTGCGTGCGAGAATTTTGCTGCGAGGTACAGCGCAGTGGCAGGACGACGGCACAGTCCGCACGCTCTCCGACCTTCGTGTCCTGGCACACCTGCGCCTCGCTGCCCCCTCATGTTCGGATGAGAGTTCAAGAGCTCGAGATAAGAGTCCGAGGACTGTGTATCATGGGTGAGGGGGATGATGAATGGCCATATCGCACAACCGAAGTCTTGCGAGTGGCCTGCCAGCGAGGCCGAGTGAGCTGACAACGGCGAGCTCCGTAGGCGCATGTTGTCCGAGCATCTTCAGCCGCACCTGATCCACCACCCGTCTGAGATCGAACTTCCAGGATTGCGAGAGGGTCTCGCTTACTTCGGTCACAATGATGGCCGAGGCATCAGACTGGTTGATGGCGAGCGCGCGGTCAAGCGCAGCGCAACCGAGAGCGAGGGCTCCAGCGCCAAGGCCAACCCTCAGAAAAGGCGGGGGCAAGGGCCCCGAGGACGCTCACGTGAACGCCAAGCTTCTTCGTCAGTTGGAGTCACAAGTGCGCAGTTTGAAGTCCGGGGCAGGTCTCACACTGTACAGCCCCAGCGACGACAGCATCGGACAGACGCTCAAGGAGTATCAGAAGAAGATGGCGAGGAAGAACAATACTCCTGAGCTCGGGCCGCCCGAACGGCAGAGTTTTGCCGCACTTCTGAACGCTTTCAGCGGTTGGCTCGAACAGCAGGGCAATGCGCAGGTTCCGGTCAAGAGCCTCGCGGACGTTCCCAAACGCCTTCTTCTCATGATGACAAAAGGGGGCAGGGAGCTCGCCATTACATGGGTGAAGGAGTGCGGAACCAGCACGGTCCAGAACAGCAGCATCGCGCGCATCTCGATGAAAGTGCTGGGTTGCATCACGCTCACCGACCCGTTCGAGCCTGGCCCCAACGCCCTGGAGGACCAAGAGGCGCTGTGGCGCACCTTGGCCGACAAGGACGCGGACGAGGGAGACAAGCGCAAGGCCGAGGCCCGCGTGCTCCGCTCCCCGCCAGAGCACGAACAGTTGAACCACGGGAAAGTGATTTCGGCAGGCCTTGTATCGCATTTTTCGGGCAGCAGGCTTCAACAACAAAGTGGGCAGAGCCCCGCGAGGCAAGCTCGTGCGAATGATCACAGTCGGGAAGTAGATTAGGAACGACTCGTGAACGCCCGCCCCGCGTGGGGTGTCCCAGCAATCTGCTGGCACCGTTCCACCGTTTCAGGAGGGGGCGTTCACTCAAAATTTGCCCTTGCCTTTTTCGGTAGTTTTGGGTCGGCCCGGGAACGTGAGCTCCCCAGGGGAAGAGATCGGGCGAAGCAGCCGTGGCCCAGAGCAGAAGCTTGTTGCAGCAGAGTGGACGAAGTTGAGCTCGAATGGGTGCGACTCCTCCCCCTCCTCCTCCTCCTCTTCGCTCTCCTCCTCCTCCTCCTCCTCCTCCTCTTCGTCCTCCTCCTCCTCATCCTCTTCGTCCTCCCCCGCCCTCCTCCTCCTCCTCCTCCTCCTCCTCCTCCTCCTCCTCCTCCCTCCCTCCTCCTCCTCCTCCTCCTCCTCCTCCTCCTCCTCCCTCCTCCTCCTCCTCTCCTCCTCCTCCTCCTCCTCCTCCTCCTCCTCCCCCCCCTCCAAGTTATGGCGGTGGTGGTGGTGGAAAACAGGCCCATCATCCCACGTCTTCCGGGAAACCGTCCTGCCGCTCAACGGCGTGATGTTCCGCGCCCTCCGTGGGGGGGTTCGTTTGCTCTCCGCGCGCCACCACTATATATGATCCAGGGTCGAGGGTTCACGGGCCCCCCCCCCCAGATGGTATGGTCCCAGGATTCCTCGGGCCCCCCCCCCCCCAGATGGTATGGTCCCAGAGACGACGACGACGACGACGACGACGACGACGACGACGACGACGACGACGACGACGACGACGACGACGACGACGGCGACGGCGACGGCGACGGCGACGGCGACGGCGACGGCGACGGCGACGGCGACGGCGGCGACGGCGACGGCGACGGCGACGGCGACGGCGACGGCGACGACTACGACGACGGCGACGACGACGACGACCACGACCACGACGACGTCGACGACGGTTGCGGCGGCGGCGACGCCGGCGGCGGCGGCGGCGACGACGACGATGACCACGATGACGACGACGACGATGACGACGACGACGATGACGACGATGACGACGACGACGAGGACGACGACGACGACGACCTATGAACCACCACAGCACCACACCACATCCACAGGGGGGGGGAGGGAGGCACCGCAGCGCAGCACCACGCCACGCCCACTTTTGAACCACCACAGCACCACACCACATCCACAGGGGGGGGGGCACCGCAGCGCAGCACCACGCCACGCCCACAGGGGGGGGCGGGGGGGACCTTCGCGCGGGGGGGGCGGGCCCAATGGCATCAGCACTGGGGGGGCCCAAGCCCTGGACCATCTATATGTGTGTGTGTGTTGCTCGGCCTCATGCGCGGGCCCCTTGGATGCACTCCAGCGACGGGGTCCGCGCGGTACTGTCCGTTCCGTGCCTCGAGATTGCTGTTCCGCTGCGTCTCCTTCTCCTGCCGCTCGTTGCCGTGCAGCTGGTGCTTTTCGGGCAGTTCTGCGGCGCGGTGCTCGCTTGGGCCTTCGCCTTGAGGTCGTTGCCGTTTTTCTGCTCCCCGTCCTGCCCGTCCGCGTGCTTCTGGCACCAATCGTGCAGCTCGGCGATGCGGAGTGGACGCGCGTCGCAGTTGTCGAGCCGCGGCTGGCGCTCTCTCCTCGCCCGAGGCGTGGAAGGCGTGAGCCCAGACGTGTCTCGCCAAGGCCCGTGCCGCTTTTCCGCGGCGTGCTCGGCCTGTGGGGCGTCCTCCGGGCCCGTGCCCCCTCGGTGCGGCGATGGCTCGGTGCACGAGCAAGCTGCACGCGGTGGTGACAGGCAACGCGCTGGAACGAGGCCTCTCCCTCCCCCGCGTCCTCGCACTCGTGGTGTCGCGGCCTGTGTTCGAAGGACTGCCTCCTCACTTCGTCTTCCTCATCACATCCTCCTCCTCCTCCTCCTCCTCCTCCTCCTCCTCCTCCTCCTCCCTTTCCACTTCCTCCTCCTCCTCCTCCTCCTCCTCCTCCCCTCCTCCTGCTCCTCCTCCTCCTCCCCTTCCTCCTCCACCCACTCCTCCCCCCTCTACAGTTACTCAATATGAATACTACTCTCCCTCGTCCCCTGATGGCGTTCTGGGAGTAGTAGACCCCCCCCCGCGTATTGTTTTTGTTACACAGGATTCCGGGAGTTGGGCTTTCGCCTGCGTTTTTTTCAAAATGCTGCTCTCGCTGAGGCGCCGGCCTCATTTCTGCTCCCGAATCGTTCCGAATCGTGCTCCCGCTGCAGCGTGGGCCTCATTTTCGGATCGGTGTTTTGCCTCCGTCGTTCAGGATGGCGTTCTCGCCCCAGCGCGGGCCTCTTTCTCGCGCGCCCATCCGCCCGCCACCACCGCGCCGCACCACGCCCCGCCCCGCCGCACGCACACCCACCGCCACTTCCACCCACCAACGCACGCACGCACGCACGCGCACCACCACCGCGCACCGCCACCACCACCGCACTACCCCACCCACCACCACCACGCTACACCGCGTCACACCACATCACACGCGCGCACACACACGCACACACGCACGCACGCACGCACGCACGCACGCACGCACACACACACACACACACACACACACACACACACACACACACACACACACACACACACACACACGACACACACACACACACACACACACACACACACACACACACACCACCACCGCCACCACCACCACCGCCATCACGCACGTACGCACCTGGCCCACCACCAAACCACCAAGACGCCACACCACGTCACACCACAGCACACGCGCACACACACGCACACACACACACACACATACACACCACCACCACAACAACCACAACCACGCTCACACGCACGCACGCACGCGTACCACCACCCACTACGCACGTGCGCGCGGAGCCACAGGTCCGCTACGACACGCGTCCGCGGATAGAGAAAATCAGCGCCATGGTAAGGGATGGGAGGGAGTGGTAGGATGTCAGATGTAGACGCGAGCGCATTGCCTCCATTTCTCCCTCCTATTCCTCCCCCTCCTTCTCCTCCTCTACCTGCACCTCCTCCTTCCCTCCCCTCCGTCCGTCCCTCCCCTCCCTCCTCCCGTTTTCCTCCTTGTCCTCCTCGTTCTCTTCCACCTCCTGCTCCTCCTATGGGTCCCCGCGCGTGCTGCTGAGGGCCCGTTGTCGGGACCGAACCAGACAGTGGGCCGTGCGGAGCGAATGACGCTGCTGTGTGCAGTCGATCTCCTACCTGCAGTGTCGCTTGTTGTGACGGACCTTTCGAGCTTGGCCCAGGAGGGCGTTTCGTGGGCAGCTGCACATGCGGACGCCCAGGCACAGTGTGCCGAACTCAGGCGTGCTGTATTCAATATGTTGCAAGGGCGACAACCGCCATGTTTCCATTGGTGCCCTGCCCACAAGACCGAGGCAGAGTTCCTTGACATGGATCGGCATCCTTGGGAGTATTTTTGGGCAACGGGTGGGCCGATTACTTTGCCAAGGCAGGTGTTTCAGCCCATGCTGTGTCCAATTCTTTGGTAGCTCGTATGACAGTCTGCTTCGGGACGCTCGGACGAAGGCCAACTTCATGGCATGGCGTGCGTGTAAGATGGCTCATCGTGATGTGTTGGATGATCGGCCCGCGCATGCTGTGCATGTTCAGCCCCCCGTGGCCCCTGTAGCGCTCACGGGGCACATTGTGGCGATCAGGGGGCCCCTGATCCAATGTAAATGTTTGGCTTTTGCTCGGGCTCCAGCTAGCCCCAACAATATGTGATTGACCGGATGTGTACCCACGGCCCAACACAGGTTGAAGGCCCAAGGGAACATGCAGCTCCAGCGGGCTCCTCCCCTCTGAACCCGTGCTGCTCAGGATGCGTCAGATTTCTCTGACGAGTTCCTTGGGAGCGAGGGGTCCGATCAAGCGAATCCGGGGCCCGAGGGTGTCAGTGTGCCGCTCGATGCGGTCGTTGTCGAGCTCGACGGGTACCAGGTGTTGGTGGCCCGTGGCGCGCTGGTGCTCACCCTGTTCGGATCCCATCAAGTGTCCTTTGAACAGGTCTTCAAGTGCAGGCTCAGTGGTGACCAGTGTCCAGGACCGACAGAACACCCACCAGCCCGCAGCAGGTATACATACATATACAGTGCCGTTTCTAATACATGCTCCGCGTGCGGATCATGTATGAAAATGAAGGGAATCAAAATTAAAAACAACGATGAGCTCATGCATACATTTATTCTTAAATTAGTAATGTATTAAAAAATCTGTTCATTTGTTCAACATTCTATGTATTAACACCTGCCATGTAATGTCTCTCGTGCGCAGGCAGGCGAGCATCCCAAGGCTGGGATGCCATTGGGAGTTGTTCGATAGTTGTTCAGCCACGCTTCGCGTCGACCTGGCCTGGCCCTTCCTGGTGCGAGTCTGGCCCAATGCTGGCCCGTGCTCCCGTCCGCGGTTGCACGACCCGGCCGCTTGGTCGACCTTTTCCTCCTCCTCCTCCTCCTCCTCCTCCGCCTCCTCCTCCTCCTCCTTCCCTCCCCTCTTCGTCGTCCTCCTCCTCCTCCTCCTCCTCTCGCTCTTCGTCCGTTTCACGGATTGAGGGCGGTTCTTTTTCAAAATGCGGTTCTCGCCTTAGCACGGTGCGCATTCGTTTTAACAAGTTTCAACCGTTTCACGGATTCCCATCATCAAGGTGCCAGAATTTGTGTTTTGGAAGGAGTCAGGATTATGCGGGTGCAACAGTTACGTTGGTTCTTTGTGTTAAAGTCTCAGGAATGGCGTTATGGTGCGATTCAGGATCGTCAAGACGCAGCAGTCAGGTTGATCCGTGGCGCTGGAATCCCGGAAACAAGGTTTTAGCATGCTTCAGGGTCTTCAAACGGCCCATCAATGGACATGAACCGTTGTAGGTGCCTATGAAGAGAGAGGGTGGAGGGAGGGTTTATTCCAACATCGTTGATGACTTCTCTGGTTTACACTGGACCTCCTCCTCCTCCTCCTCCTCCTCCTCATCCCCATCCCCATCCCCCTCCTCATTCTCCTCGTCCTGCTCCTCCTTCCCCTCCTCCTCCTCCCCCTCCTCCTCCTCCTCCTGCTACTCCTCCTCCTGTTCCTCCTCCCCCTCCTCCTCCTCCGCCTGCTCCGTTTCCTCCGCCTCCTCCTCCTGGCTCTCGTCTTCCTCTTCCACTTCCTCCTCCTCCTCCTCCTCCTCCTCCTCCTCCTCCTCCTCCTCTATTCCTTTGTCCTTGTGAACAGCTTCCCGCTGTCCAGTCTTCAGGGGCGGGGCGGGCGTTCCGCCTGGGACTTCCCCATCACTTATGATCCTGAAGCCCAGTTGCACGGCCGTCGTTTTTCGGGGGCCTGCCCCGCGCGAGGCAGGGGTCGGGCCCCCCTGCACCGACGCGTGCCTGGGTCGTGCTCTGTGTGAGGCAGTCTGTGGTCGAGGCGACCGGCTCACGTGGGGGCACCTTGGTCACTCGGATCTGGTGTATTTTTTAGGGATCGTTCTCTTGTTCACTGTCTTGCCGATCGGCGCGGGCCGTCGCACGCCCCCTTGCCCCCCCCCCAAGCGAGTGATCTCGGCCGTTTGGGGCGCCTGGTTCGAGCGGGTGGAGTCCCCCACATGGGGCGCATTGCTACAAACAGTCGCATTAAGCAGAGGTCCAGAGCCAGACCCCCCCTCCCCCCCTACCGCCCAATGTCGAAACGCCGAATCAGAAAACGTTCGTCAAGTGGCTTACGCTATTCCGCCGATCGCCAGAAGGAGTAAGAACTTGCAACGCTCGAGGAGCTGCTGTGGCCTTCGGCCCAGCCCGCCACGGTGCCTGGGCTGTGGCTCAGAAGCCTCCTAGATGCATCTGATGGTCTCTTGGGGTGCCTGTCGGGGGCGTCTTGGAGGGCTCTTGTGGCCTCTGGGGACGCCTTGTGGCCCTCTTGGAGGCCTCCGAAGGCCTCTGGGGGCGCCTCGGGGGCCCCTGGGGGGCTCTTGGGCTCATAGGGCGGGGGAAGGGCTCGGAATGTCAGCTCGTATTCCCATTCGTGGGCCCTTCGTGAAGCCCTCCTTAGCCGTTCCTAGGCCGTCTTGAGGGCCCCTGGGGCCGTCTTGGAGTCCTCTTGGGCCGTCTTGGGGGCCTCATTGGCTGTCTTGGAACGATCTTCCAAGCCCCTTGGACCGTCGTCGACGCCGTGAAGACGAAACAGGTGAAAATGCTAAACATATACGTTTTCCTGAAGGGAACGGGGCGTTTTTCGCCTCTTGGGCTCTCTCGGCGGTCTAGTGGGAGCGCACTCTGGGCCCGTCTTGGGGGCCTCGTGGGCCGTCTCGGAGCCATCTTGGACAGTCGTGGCGCTGTCCTGGGCTGTGTCGACGCTCTCTGGGACGATCTTGGCCCTCAGTTTGGGCCGTCTTGGGGTTCACTGGAGGCTTGGGAGGCGCCGGGGGGAGCACTGACGAGCTCGGAGCCCCCACCCCCCTCCAGCGGCATTCCGGGCCCCAGGGGAGAGGGGGACGGGGGGAGGCGGAGAGGGGGGGGGGAGAGAGCCGCTCATCTCACACGCCTTCTCGCCCCTGGCAAGCGTCAGGTCGGGCATGCCCCCTTACATGCGGATTCTGGGGGAGCAAGAAATGACGACACATGGCTCGAACATGGCCAAAACCTGCCAGCCATAGTTGCAACACCGTTCTCGTATTATGTTCCGACTACTTTTGGATAACTATTGTTCCTGTAGAGGGACACGCCCGACATTTTGTCGAGTATTTGTTCGCCATATCCCTCCTTATTTTTCGACTCTTGTTCGACGATTTTTGGATATTCCTCCTCGGTGAGCCGGGGGGCTCCGCGGGGTCGTGGCCGCCGGGCCGTCCGGGGCGCGGGCGCGGGCGCCCGCGGGGGGGCCGCTGGGCGGCAGCATGCGGCCGTCGTGGCCGCGGCGTGTGCGCGGCGCCCAGAGGGCACTGCCGTGAAGCAGGGCTCACGTCGGCCTCGATCGAGCAGGCTGGATAGGCGGGCCACATGCGAACCCTACCCCTGCCCCCCACGATTTCTGAGGGGGAGGGTGGGGTTCACTCCGTTCGGGAGCTCCCGAGCGAAGTGAACCCCACCCTCCGCCTCAGAAATCGTGGGGGGTAGGGGTAGGGTTCGCATGTGGCCCCCTACTCGATCGAGCAGGCCGGTTGAATCGATGATCCTCAGAACGTGTGTTAGCCTCGGAGGTGGATAGACCTCCTACCCTGACACGTCGGTTCTTAGTGGACCCTGGAAACGACAGGGCCGTGTTTTTTTCATCGGTTCCGTTTTGCCGTTTTTGTTGCCGCTTCCGACGCCGTGTTTTTTCACCGGTTCCGTCGCCGCTTTTTGACCAGTTCCGGCTCGGTTCCAATCCTGGAGCCGTTTTTTTGCCGTTTCCGGTCGCCGTTTTTTTGCCGTCTCCATTCTCGAGGGACACTTTTGGAAACGGTGAAAAAACGGCCTTGCCGTTTCTGGGGCCCACAACGGGCTGGTTGAATCGATGATCCTCAGGACGTGGCCCAATGTGTGTGTTTACCCCGTGGAAGCCAAGCAGTCGGTCATCACATCGCCTTCGTCGTGCTGGAGGGCCTCGGTGGGCAAGCACACGTTGGCGCTAACACACGTTCTGAGGACCATCGATTGATGGGCTCGGATTGATGGGCCAGAGTTTCATTACCACTCGCCATGGGGAAGACGGGGGAGAAAGGAGGACGGTGAGGTCCTCCTATTCCTCCTCGTTCTCCTCCTCCTTCTCTTTTTTCCTCCTCCCTCTCCTGCCTAGGGTAGTGGTGGTGGAAATGGAGGCCCTCATGGATGGCCGCAGCTTGTGCTGCCCAGGCCATGCTTGAGGGCCGCGTGACCGTGCCGCGTCCATTGAGGCAGAGGCGGTGTCTTGAGAAGCGCGCCGTGCAGTCTCTGCCTGTTCCCACGAGTCAGAGCGAGCTTGGGTGAAAGCTCCGTTTGCGCCGCGAGTTCGCGTCCGCCTGACAGTTCTCTGCGATGGCTTCGGCGGCGGCGAGACCAGGAGAAATGAAGAGGGAGCACGGAGGAGGAGGAGGAGCAGGAGGAGGAGGAGGAGGAGGAATGAAGAGGAATAATGAAGAGGAGGAGTAGGAGGAGGAGGAGGAGGAGGAGGAGGAGGAAAAAGAGGAGGAGGAGGAATGAAGAAGAGGAGGAGGAGGAGGAGGAGGAGGAAAAACAGGAGGAGGAGGAAAAAGAGGAGGAGGAGCAGGGAGGAGGCGGTAGCGACCGCTCGAGGCGCAGGGTGCTCCTGCCCCGGCGCCTTACTGCTGTGCTCACGGGGCACGCGAGAGCGGATGCGGCTGCCGGCGCTCACTGGGAAAGGGGGTCACCACCCACCAAACCACCCCAACCGAACTAGAAGGCCTCAATTTGCCCTCCATTCGGGGTCGGGGAACGTTGAAAAAATACAGATGGAACCCTTACCCCCCCCACACCCGAAATTATTCGGGTCTTCGGGTTGGGTTGGGGTGGTCTGGTAGGTAGTCAGTGGGGGTACGAAATTTGCTGCATGCAGCTGGTTTCGGCCTCACCGAGGGGCCAATTCCTCGACACATAGCCGCCTCCGGCACCGGGAGGCGCCGGGAAAATCAGCTACGTGCGCTGATTCTCAACCCCCCCTTTGCTGTCCCCCCCCTTTCGCCCGACCCGATCCTCCCGCAGCAGGCCAGACCAATCAGACCAACCATCACCAGCCTCGAACCTATCCCTATCCCTAAGATCGACACGCCGAGAGGCGATGGCAATCTTAGGAATGCGCCCTCAGAAACCGAGGGAGTCCCTGAGATTGGCATCGTGATGGGGCGATGCCCAGCATAGGGATAGAGATATGTTCCAGGCTGGTAAAACCAGACCAGATGCAGAACAGGTGCCATGCGGAAAAAGTGAAAATCAACAGACGCTGAATCTCAAGTTGAAGCGCAACATGCTCAATGCTGGAAAACGAGACGTGCAGACATCTTAAGCTGAAGCTCCAGCACTGATCTCGAACAAAACCAACAAGACCAGCCACATCAGATGCAACAACTGCGCAGCGCAAAACACATGCAATGCACAACGAATTGCATGTCGGTCGTAGTCGTTAGCGCTGCCTCCCTGGACCTCCCTTAAACCACTCGCCCGAATTTTGAGCTGAAGTTTCAGTGCTAAGCTCAAACCAGACCAACCCGACCATCCAGACCAGATGCAACAGCAAACTGAAATGCAACAACAAACTGCAAAGCCACAGAAACTGCAATGCACAAGAAAACTGTTTTTCGATCGTCGTAGTGGTTGGCGCTACCTACCTCGACGGACCCTAACCCACTCTCGCCCGAATTCTGAGCTCAGGCTTCAGCACTAAGCTCAAACCAGACCAAATTGACCAGCCAGACCAGATGCAACAAAAACTGCAATGCGAAAAAAAACACTGCAACGCCAAAAACTGCAATGCAAAGGAAAACTGTTTTTCGGTGGTCGTAGTGGTGTGCGCTGCCTCCTTGGACGGCCCCTAAACCAGTCTTGCCCGAAGCCTAAGCTCAGAATTCAGCACCACTATCAAACCGGTCCAACCAGACCAGCCAGACCAGATGCAACACAAACTGCAATGCAACACAAAGGCAAAGCAGCGAAATCTGCAATGACAAACAAAACGGTTCTAAAGTGGTCGTAGTGGATGGCAGACCAGATCTGAAGTTCCATGCTCAAGCCTACTAAGGCCGAAGCTTCCATCTTCATTTTTGGGAGCTTGGCGTCCCGCCGTGCGCACGGCTAAGAGCTCGATAATTGTGGCATGGGGGGCGAGTGGAAGGATGCAAATGGGGGGAGGAGAAGGCGAAGGGTGATAGGGGAAGGTGGAGTGTGGAGAACGATGAGAGACAATGGGGGAGGGAGGGGGAGGGGATGTGCACGACCACGAAGTGGTGGAGGAGGCAACGAAAAAGGGAGAGGGTAGCAGAAGGAGGAGTCGGAGCAGGCCGAGGATAGTGGGGCGTGGTAAATCCATAGTCTCGCTCTCCGGCCTTGCCCAACGACTCTGCATATTCGATTTGCTGAGCCAGCCGACAATTTGCTCGTTTGGCGGTCCTGCCACTTCGCTTATTGTCCACTCTCGCTGCGCATGTGCCAGGCGTCTACGTGGACATTGGCGCTTACAACGAAGACTTCGAATGGGTCATCTGCCATGCGGAATAGACTCTCCTGAATTAAGCTGGGATCGCGGGGACACGCCATGCTCTCCGGAAGTTCTTGATGACCGAAAACACACATGTATATAACTATGTATGTATGCATGTATGTATGTATGTATGTATGTATGTATGTATGTATGTATGTATGTATGTTTAGATATGTAGATACATATTTCCCCGCCGAGCAGGAGTAATAGCATCGGTCAGAAATACGGCCGCATGGACGTGCGGGAATATAGGATTCCGCAATGGAGTTAGAGTAGCGGAGCCTAGCGGTTCGAAGTGTTCTGTGTTGCCCGAGTTGGAGAGGACGACGATGACATGGGAGGGGAGTCGACAAAGACCACGATGACGAGGCGGGATATTGGGGAGGAGCATGGAGCTGGTATTGACGAAGCAGGAGGGAAGGAGGGAGAGGTGGCCAAGATGTATGAGAGGGGCGATAGGGAGGGATATCGACGAGGGGGTGCACGGAGAGGAGGTGGAGTGAGCAGGACAGATGGAGGGAGGGAGGCCTCGCGCTTCGCCGCGCGCACCTCTGAGTGCCCCCCTCGAGCGAGACGCGGACTCTGAGCTGATGGACCAGGAGGACTACAGGCGGAGGGGAAAGATGATCAGGAGGAGGGGCAAGAGGATTCGGGAGGGGGATGCCGACTGGTCAGGCTTGGCAGAGTCCCTTACCTGAGTCCGCGCCTCGCAGCCCAGCCTTCTCTGTCCGTATGCGTTTGAGCCCCGACCCCTGGGGATGCGCTTAGGGGAAGTGCCGGCCTCCGAGTAGCAGGAGGAGTAGCTGGAGTAGAGTAGTTAGGTGGAGAGAATGTGGGTGAGACAGATGCGGATAAGGATGAATAGGATGATGCTGGAGCAGGGTGGAGGAATATTGAGTTAGGTTGAAGGAGGTTCATGAATGTGGATATGCTGGAGGGGATGATCTGCAGGACAACCTACGTAAGGAGGAACATGCAGAGCAGGCAACGAAGCCCGAGGGGGTGGAGAGGGATACTGTGGGGAGGGGGAACGGGAAGTGGAGTGGTGGATGGGAGGGGATCGCGAGAAGAGGGGAGCTGGCAGAGTGTAGATGAAACGAAGCCATATTTTGAAGGTGGTTGGACTATTCGTCACGGGTCCCATTCCCGCACAGAACCGACACGATGTGTCGCCAGTCCGGGGCGGTATTAGCCCAGTGTTTCCCACGCGCCAGATTCACAGACCCACAATCCATGTCCGCGTGGGCCCGAGAGTTGGAGCGGTGGGCTTGTTTCCCCCCTCCACCGCCACAAGCGGGAGGGGGAGGGGGTCCTCCTCCCCCCTCCTCCTCGTCCTCCCCTCATCCTCCACCTACTTTCCCCCTGCAACCTATGGTGGTGGTGGTGGTGGAAGAAAGCAGGCCCATCATGGAGGAAGAGAGGGGGGGGCGAGGAGGAGGAGGAGGAGGAGGAGGAGGAGGAGCAGGAGCAGGAGCAGCGGCGGCCCCCGCGGAGGTCGACGGTTACCTCCACATCGGCCAGATCCGCGAGGACGGCATGCACGTCCCGTGCGCCCCCTCGGCCGCCGCGGGAACAGCGGGGCGGGCGGCGGGAGTGGCGTTGCATCTCTGGGGGGCCTCGCCTTTCCCAAACAAATGTGTCTTTTCTTGCGCCCGACGCGTGCTCGATGCGGATTCGACGCGGATTTGGCGTGGATGTGCCGCGGATTCGACACGGATTCGACACGGACCCGACGAGCCCGACATGGATTCGACACGGATTTGACGCGGATAGGGCCGCGCCGGGACAGACAAGGTCCCCCGAAGATGCAACATAACGGGAGCACAGCACGGTTACACGCCGGTCGTTGAAGGGTAAGTATTTTTGGATTCCAGGATCCCAATCTACTTCAAGCGCCTTCCTATTTCAAGAATCGACATGCTTTGGCTGTGTTTTGTTACTCTCTGGGAGGACCTGAGCCCAATCCACTTTATCCGCCTTCCCACCTCATGTTTCTACCTACTGCTTCCGACCGACGTGTAAGTTGGGCCTTTCAGACCTAAGAGCAGGGGGGGAGAACTTCGTGTTTTTTGAAAGTGGATCCGGCTTCCAAAAACACGCGCTTGTTCATATTGGAACCGGCTTCAGGCCACGCTTCTTTTCAAGCCGGATCCGGCTTCGAGAACACGCAGTTCTCCCAGGCCGACCTGAGAGTGCAGCGCCGAGGGAGGGCAGCAGCAGGCAGGGAGTAGTTTGCACCCTCTCTTAACCGCAGCCTTCTAGATCAGGTTCTAAGCCCGGCAGGGGCGACTGTTTCACCTCAGCCAGGCCTAGCGCTTGAGAAACCATCCATCTTAGGGAGGGGAGGAGCGATCTTATACAGTAGGGGCCCGAGCACATGAGACCTTCCAAATGAAACCCAACCCTGAGACACCAAGACGTCCATGGAAGTTTGGTGTGAAAGCGTCACGCCATCCATCGCATAACCATCGAAACCCAAGAAACCCAGGGCATTCTGGAGGCAGTCTGGGTGTTTCTTGGCATGGGGCTCCACTGTGCGGGAGGGAGGAGCTGACCGAGAAGCAGGGGGGGGCGGCAGGAGTGGCGAAGGGGGGGGGGCGGGCTCGAAGGGGTGGCTGGACGAGAGGGAGTGGGGGAGAGGGGGTGGGGGCGGGGGAAGGCCGTGGGGGAAGGACGGGCAAAGGGCGGAAGGGTGGAGGGCCGCCGGACGGGGGGAGGGTGTTTCCTCCTCCTCATTCCCCCTGGTCTCGGCGGTACCTGGTGTGCACCTAGTCGGGATGCCGTGGCTGGGAGTGGCAGGGGGCCGTGGCGTGCTCAGGATGCGGCACCAATTTCCGCCAGCGCGACGGGAAGTCCCAGCAGCAGCCTCCGTCCAAGAGAGCGGTCCATCACGTGAGCACACGACGAAGGTCACGATCGAGACGGTGGACGGTGGAGGTCAAGACGAATCAGACCAGGTCGCGGAGAAGCAGCCAGACCCAGTATCGCAGGCTCAGGCGCAGGTCGCATTCTGGAAGAAATAGGTCGGGGTGCAAGGCAAGGAGTACAACGACGCGCTCGAGGACCTAAAGATGGCCAAAATGGAGGCGCTGCGTGGCACGAGTCTGGACCAACAGACCCAGTCGTTTCATGATCAGTGCCTGGCCATGTCAAGCCGAATCGGAGACATCAACGCCGGCATCGCGCAAGCGGACTCGCAAATCACAGTCTTGGCAGACCGCTACAAGACCCGCGCCAACGAGCTCAGTGACGCCAAGGAGGAGGAGCAAGTCGAGGCCCATCGAGCCATGGCGGCTCACGCTGCGGCGCAGCAGGCATCAGGGGGCACGGACCTCGCGCAGATGGTCTACGCGGCGCCGCAGGCCAAGATCCCAGCGGGCGGCGCGGTGCCAAAGATCCTGCAGACGCAAGTGCAGGAGCTCGCGAGCACGTTCGACCAGCTGCAGCGCCAGAGCGCCGCCGCCGCGGGCATCAACGCCGAGGAGCCCGCCATCCCCGCGGCGAAGCCGCCGCTGCCGGCGCCGACGCAGCCGACGCCCCCTTTTTCTACCCCCGCGGCAGCCGCCATCGGCGAGATGGAGACAGCTGGCCACCTTCCATTTGAGGATGAAGCCGTGGAAGATGACGCCATGGAGTTCGTGGGCCTCGGCAGCGGGGACAAGAGGGCCCTGCAGGAGCTCAGGCCGTCACTTACTTCATGGGCCAGAACGCGGACGAGGACGGCGCGAAGCGCCTGCGCGACGCCACCACAGCTGGCAGCGCAGCGCAGGCGAAGTCGGGCTTAGGATACGATCGAGCTAACCACTTTCAACGGGAGCTGCTGGAACACTTTCGAGCAGCTCGTGGAGTCGGACTAGTCTAATGACGTCATGCTGATCTGTGTCCAGGAACACAGGCTCTGCTCGGGGAGCGCCACTGCCCCAGAGGGCCCAGCGGTGCCAGCGCAGCGGGTGGCTTGCGCCCATTCAACCGGCCACAGTGACTGAGAACGGACAGAACATCAACGGAGTCGCCATCTTAGCGCGGGGCCATCTCGACCCATGGATCGAGTCCATGCGCCAATTTCATCGACTCCAGCCGCCTGAGCTGGAGGCGCCAGGCCTGCCGAAGATAGGCCTCATGAGTACTTGTATCTGAGCTTCCGAAGGACTGCGATATCAACTTGGGCCTGCTAGCATACATCGCGGTGCAGCAGGACCACCTTCGAATGCGCATTGTCGTTGCGGGCGGCTTCAATCTTCCCCCCGGCAGGATCGCATCTCTGGACTTCCTGCGTCCGGCCTCCATGAAGCTGATCGCCCCAGAAGAACCCACCTGTCGGAAACCAAAATCGAGATCCACCCGTGGCCACTTCCTGGTCAGCGAACCTTTGGGAGAGTGGGCGGAGAAGGTCCAGGCCTGGACCAGGTACTTGTTGTCTCCTCACAGGTCAGTCTGCCTGGGACTTCAAGGCGATGGCAACTACCTAATCCCCAGCGCTGAAGAAGCCGCGGAGGCTACCTTCAGCAACGCCGTTTGGACCGTAAACACGGCCATCAGCCTGGTCCCAGGGCGACCAGGCCATGCGCCGCGTTGAAGCCCTGCCACATGATGCCACCACGCCTCTCAGTAAGCAGCAGAAGCAAGTCCTACTACTGTTATTCGCTGGTCATAAAGAACCTCGAGGCCTCCATCAGCGACCTCGCGGATACCACGTTGAGAAAAGTCGATTACTAGGGCGCGCCCTCAAGGGGTCACAAGGGTCAAAGCGAAACAGCGAGATACATTGGTGCAATGAGGTTGGAGATCCCTGGCCCCCCCCCCCCCTCACATGGTTGCGAAAACGTTTCGTCGACATCAAGTTCGCCATATCGGAGTCAGTCAATTACCGGCTCGCATACCTATTGGCGGGCTTGCAGGACTCGCCAGAGGAGTTTCGCACAGTTGACTGTCTCAAGGTCTCGCTCAGCACCGCAGTCCAATCAGGTGAGCTTCTAATCGCTGGTCGAGAAGCTGGAGTCTGATCAGCGGGCGCAGCCGACCATGCCATCATTTCGATTCTCCAGGATCTGGACCAGGCCATAGACGCCGGAAGGATGCAGTTTTCAGCGGAAGCCGCGAAGTCCTGGCCAACCTGGGCCGAAATTTCTTGTTCAGGACGGAGTCGGCTGTGCCCGCAGATGGACGGGGAACCTCGAAGCCTGGAGGTGGGATGCCTGCGACTACCATCGACAAAGGCCGCTGGTCGGGACGACCGAGCAGCATTCTTGCAGGGGAAGCCGAATGACTCGCCCACATGTGGGGCACTTCAGAAGCCACAGATGAATCCTGTGCCCGAAGTGCTCGATGACAGAGTTGCCCTGGGACCCGTGAGCGGCGGGGCCATTTAAGGAGCAGCCGGGAGTTTGTCCATTAGAACCGCCTCGACGCGGGGCGGCGTGCACCCGCGTCACATCGCAATGTTTACGGAGCTGCAGGCGGACGTCGTCGCGCAGCTGCTGCTCCTCATCGAGATGCTAGGTTCCATGCCCTCTCAGATGCAAGCCATACTACCGTCCCTAATCATGAAACAAAAACAGCAGTACTTAAAGGCCACCAAACCAGCGATGAGGTCTATAGGCGTGATGTCAGTGTTTCATCTTGCCTGGTCTAGAGTAAGACAGTAGCTACTATCAGCATATCACTCGCAACAAGCTTGCAAGCCGAGCTCTACATAATGGATTTCCAGCAACGATCTTCCGGATTATCTAGGGTAGCGTCATTCTCCAGGATCTAGTTGTTGCAGTGGGGCGCGTAGTTCTTCGAATAGTCGCTGGATGCGTCTTCGCGACGTACCTGATACAGATGTGCACGATTGGCCCCCCTGGGCTCGGGGGCCCAGCGGAACCCCCATGTAGACCTCGTTCACGTTCATATATGGTATCCTCATAGAGAGCCATGGTAACAAGATCAGCAGAGTGGCGTCACGTCATGATAGAGGAGCCCAGAGCCTGCTAGACTCCATCCAGCACGATCTGGACAGCCAGGCTGCGCCCGCCAGGACCCAGTGGCTCGCCTCTTCCAACCAGCTGCGCAAGCGGATTCAGAGAAAGTTGCGCTCGATATTTGGCAGTTTGACAGACATCTCTGGCCCAAGTCTCGGCTGCGAGACCGCGGCAGGAGCTCCCCAGTGTCGGCGGGGGACGGGAGGGCCGCCAAGGCAAGGATGGACAAGAACAAACGGAGGATGAGGATATTGGGAGCGATCAGGAGGGCAGGAGGAGACGCAACGATAGTCTGACACACGGGCATCTACGCGGCCACTACTTTCAGCCATGAGGCCACATGCCCCAACGACGCGCAGCTTCCGATCGCCAGCAGCAGTACGTTGAATTAGCAGGGCCGAGATGCGCTACCAGAAGCAGGACCCTGAGCCTGCTACTGGCGGACGACCCCACTTGAAAAACTGCCCTAGGGCCCGCCCTGGTTTGGCTTCCAATATTATTGACGGCTACCACCAATCCTGCCCAAGGCCTTGCATCCTCGAGTGCTCTTCGGGCCCGCGGCGAGGCCCCCGTGGGCCAGGCCCCCGCCAGATGGGGCAGCGTGCGTGGGCCCTTCGGTGCCGTTGTGCTTTCCTTGCGTGGGGCACGGTGGACTTTCGCCTCTCCGCTGGTTTTCCAGGCCCGCGAACGCCAGCAGCACCCTTTAACGTGTTTCTCGCCAGCCCTTGCGCAAAGCAAGGTGCTTCGAGCCTGGCAGCAGCAGCTTCGAGAGCAAGCTGCGACCGGGCGCGGTCACCCAGGAACCCAACTGGACACCCGCATGTCGCATTGCCTCAAGAGTCCTGCGCAGCGCCTCCCTCGAGAAACAAAGACGAGGTTGCCTATTAACGTTTCTAACCCAGGGCTGCTGGACTGAGGCCAGGGCCCAAGATGCGGGATGCGACATGTCACCCGCGTGCGAGTGTGGTGCCCCAACGGACTGCCCGCGCCATAGGCTGTTCCAGTGCCCACTCTCGCAGAGCGACTGAGACCTACACTGTTCAGCAGAGGATAGATCGTATACAGAAACACCATAGACCCCTGCTAAAATTCGGACCAGACGCAGCCCGGCTTCAATGTCATCCCACCGCTAGGGGCAGGGCTTGACAGTTGCAAGCTCTGGTGCGAAGGTGCGGACATATCCCTGGAGGACGCTTTCTCAGGCTATGTCTACGTAGACGGCAGCTGCGACAATTCGATGCATCCCGTCTTCCAGACGGCAGGTTGGGCCGCGGTCAGCATGAGGGATAATGCCCCGTTCGCCATTCTCCTTGGGCAGGTGGGAGGTGCATGCCCCGGGCTCGGGCGCGGCGGAGATGCTTGCTACTACAGTGGCCGCCTGCTCGATTTCACATGATATGACTACGGTCCATACCGACCACCAGGGGGCTATCATACTTTCTGCCGGAACCCTGGATATCAGGAGGGGAAGAAGCATACAGACACAATGAATCGTCGATCCCCAGGAAAATATGGGAAAATATGGGAAGTGGGGAGGAAGACGAAAACCCAGAACATATGGGAGACTATGGGGGGTATGTTTATTTTTGTGTATTTATCTGTGCGTTTGTAGGCCCCTGAGGAGGAGGAGGAGGAGGAGGAGGAGATGGAGGAGGAGGGGGAGGAGGAGGAGGAGGAGGAGGAGGAGGAGGAGGGAGGAGGATTCAGGATATCCCAGGCGTGGTCTGCACGCAGGTTCCGCGGTCCTGGTGGGCAGAGCTGCTGCCCCGCCGTCGCCTCGCCTCGAGGAAGGCAGCGCCCGCTGGGACCCGAACGGGACCTCCTCCTCCTCCTCCTCCTCCTCCTCCTCCTCCTCCTCCTCCTGCTCCGGGCAACGACGCGGCGGACGAAGCAGCTGAAAAAGAGCAGCAGTTGGACTTGCTAGACCGTCCGAAGCTGGGCCCGAGGTTTTCCAAACCAGACGAAAGCTCGCACCGTCGGCGCTTGTTTTTTATAGCGCGCGCGTGCTCCCCCGATGGCCAGCATTGGCCGCCAGAGGTGGACAGAAATCGCCGAGCAAACCAGCCAGACAGAACCCTCTTCAGCAGAGCATGCCTGGGACTCTGGGGCCACCCCGCTCCCCTCCAGGCCCCCCCCCTGCTCCTCCTGGTGCCCCAGACCCCGAGCCCGAATTCCGTCAATGGCAATGCATAGGCATAGGCGAGTTCCATACATGCACTTTGTGCCGCGTGAGAGCCACGTCTCAGCAGCAGAATTGCAGACGCCTGTCGTACAAGTGCCCAGGTTACTACGCGGGCTTGGCCTCGCTTTCACAAAGCCCCAGAGGTCACCAACTATTGATTTTCGAGTGCGAGCTCAACTCGAGCACGATGATGTTGTGTCGTTCCTGCGGGTCCTATTCAGAAGCGGGCACCAGGCTTGTTCCAAGAGCGCCCAGAAGCTCCGAGGACGAACAATTCTAGAACCCAGCATTCCTGAGCGCTGGAGCTCAGACATCCTAAGAGAGGCAGAGCTCAGGCTTTCAAGCAACCAGTCCCGCTCGAATTTTAACCGCGATGCAGTGGCTGCAGCTCAAGCTGCCAATAGTGGAGACCTTTGGGCCCACACCAGGGGCGAGGCTCTGCCACCGTCCTGGCGTTGGTTACACCAGCGGTCGGCGGAGCCTCGTCGTCCTGGCGTCGCCTCGTGTCTATATTGTGCACGTGCGTGCGTGTGCGTGCGGTTCGACAGCACGCGTGTCAGGCACCCCGCCTCAAGGGGAATGCACATTCGCATCATGGCTTTCATCGCCCTCTTTGTTTCGGCGTCGGCAGCGCCCTGCCGTCGCCCTGGCTTCTGGTTTCATTATCGGCCGCAGTGGATCACATTTGTGGCTCAGCGCCACGAGGTTTCGGATTAGGGTCGGGTCGGCCAACCCTGGGCCTCCCCTCATCAGCCAAGTCATGGTCCTCCTCTCCCTCCTCCTCTTCCTCCTCCTCCTCCTCCTCCTTCTCCCCCTTCTCATCATTCCTCTTCCTCATCCTCGCCCTCCCTCTCCTCCTCCCCCTCCCCCTCCCCCTCTTCCCCCGCCTCCTCCGAGGGGGGCAGCCGCCAGGTGGAACAGGATGATGGACGAGGTCTACCTCGGCGAGCGCGTGCGCGTGCGCGTGCGGGAGGCTGCCCGCCCCATCCTCGCCGCTCCCCCTCCGAGAGCGCCATTTGCCGCCCAGCGCTCTCCTGAGCGGGGCCGCGTCCACGCCCTCGCTCTCCGATTAGGTCGGGTTAGGTCGGGCGTGTCCCCCGGCAGGCGGATTTGGGAGGAAGCATGAAAAATACCATAAACATTTGAAACCATATCCACAAATAGTCGCACAATCGTCCCCAGAGTTTTTCCATATTTCTTCTGTAGAAAGACGTACCCGACTTAACTCTCCGACGCCCCCGCTCTTTGGTCGGGCGCCCCCGCTCTTTGTTGGGGCGGCTGGAGGCGCGTGGTGGTGGTGGATCCCACATGTTCCACCTACGTCCGCAGCACTCTGAGCTCGAGGGGCGCTCAAGGCCAGTCTGGTATCCCAAGGACGGGCAGGTCGCTTGAGGAACAGCGCGCGAGCACACCGCGTGAGAGCACTGCAAGCCCCAATTCTTTGGAGGCTCTCCAGAGCCCCTCGAGCCACGAAGAAATCACGACGGATGGCTCTTCGCCAGTCGCGCCGCTCTCTCCGCCGCCTCTGCCGCGGGCCCTGTCCCGGCCGGGGACGCTCCCACGCCCTCGCTCTCCGACGCCCCCGCTCTGCTCGGGCCCCACGGCCTCACGTTGCATCTTCGGGGGGCCTCGCCTGTCTTCCAAAGTGGTGTCTTCTCTTGTGCCCGACGTGGGTCCGATGCGGACTCGACGCGGGTTTAGTGCGGATTCGACGCGGACTCGACGCGGATTCGTCACGGATCCGACACGTCCGACGTGTCTTCGACACGGATTCGACGCGGATAGGACCGCGACGGGACAGATGAGGTCCCCCCGAGGATGCCACACAACACAGCCAGCTCCCCGGAGCCCCTCGAGTCATGAGGAAATCCCGACGGGCGGCCTGTCGATGTCTGGGATCTCTGGGGGCCCTCACCTGGCCTCGGGTCCGTCAAGGAGCGACTCGGGAGGCAAAACCGGGTCCCCGGGAATGCGTCGAGACCTCCAGGGTCAACGTTCCCCATCCCCCTAAAGCTTCCGGACCTTCTGCCCTTACCTTGCGCCTTTGGTTCGACATGATCGACGTGTGTTTCTTCGAAATGCGTAAGAGGTTCCCAGGAGTTCCGACGAATTCTTCCGCGCTTTCCGCGGAGGTCTTAAGGGATGGAAGGTGGAGGCCGGGGGAGAACCCCTCGAGTCATGAAGAAATCATTAAAGGTTGCTCTTCGCTGTTTGGGACCTCAGGGGGCCATCACGGGGCCTCGGGGCCGTTAAGGAGCGTCTCGGGAGGAAAAGCCGGTCCCGTGGAATGGATCGAGTCCTCCAGGGTCGACATATGAACAGAATCATGACGTCGGAGGTTCCCGGGAGGTTTCCCGGACATGCCCGTCGCTGTGGCGCTGCTGGCCCCGCGGGAGCCTGTTTTTGGATGCTCCGCCACAGCGGCCGTCACCGGCCCCGCCACCCCCTTCCAGGTGACGTCGCGTTACGCGCCGGCGGCGTCCATGAGAGCCTGGGGATGGCCGCGGCTGAGCAGGGGCAGCATGTCGGTAGCGATTGGCACCACAGCGTAGGTGTACACCACAGTGCCCGCGTGCACCACAAAGCGCGTGCACACCACGGCGCCTGTGTACACCGCAACAGCGGTGTGCAACGCAGCGCCTGTGTACACCACAGTGCTTGCGTGCACCACATCGTGCGTGTGCACCACAGCTCTGGTGTACACCGCAGCAGCCGTCTGCAACACAGCGTTTGTGTGCACTACAATGCGTCCGTGCATCGCAGCGCTTGTGTACACCACAGTCCCTGTGTACACCACAGCTTCCGCGTGCAACACAGCGCTGGTGCACACCACAGTGCCTACGTGCACTGGACAGGTAGAAGGGACATGTGGGTGAGGATCTGTTGTGTACAACCAAACACCACGCGAAGGTAGCGCTGATAATGAATGCAGTTTTTTCCTCCCTCCTTCTGCTCCTCCTCCCTCTCCGTGACCCTTCTCCCCGTCGCGCGGGTCGGCGCTGCAGTGCGCGCATCTCGGTTTGCAAAGCAGGATGGGAATGGGCGATATTCAACCCTGCGCATCCCCAATTTGGGGGAATCCTATTGCATGGGCGCATCGCGCATTGAGTGGCGTTGCTTTGCATGGGTTGGCATTGCGCGGCATTGCTCTGTATTGCTTGGCATTGCTTGGCATTTCGCGGAGTTGCTATGTATGGGTTGGCATTTCTTGGCATTGCTTGGTACTGCTTGGGGCAAACGGGGGCGGTGAAACCGAAAAACTTCGGGAACCCGAGGAACCCAGGGAACCCGAAGAATCTCCGAGGAACGGGGCGGGCAACGTAGCAATATAAGGCACTGGGGGCGAGGAGCCCGAGGAACGTCCGGGTAAATGGAGAAGTAACAATCGGGGCCTCCAACCTTTAACCAAGTAGGAACCTCTTACGCAAGCTTGATTGGGGATCGATCGGAGGCACCGGAGGCGGGGAACCCGAGGAACACGAAAAACCCGAGGAACATCCGAGCAGCGGGCATAGTAACAATAGGATGCGCCTACCTTTTAATCAAGTAAGAGCCCCTAAAGCAAGCCTCATTGGGGAAAAAGGTTGGCGCTCGTGCCATGAGGTGCGACGGTGCCATGCCACAGCGCCCCCGTGCCACAGCGCCTCCCGCTGCACGGCCCCCGCAGTGCCCAGTGCGTCAGGCAAACGTTTTCAGGAGAACGTCGCCCCCGTCTCTATGCGCGTCCCGATCCAAAAGGCACGGCACGGTTCCTCCTCCTCCTCCTCCTCCTCATCCTTTTCTTTTTCCTTCTCCTCCCCCTTGTCTTCGTCCTCCCCCTCCTCCTCCTCCTTCTCCTGCTCCCCCTACTCATTTTCCTCGTCCACCTCATCATCCTCCTCCTCTTCCCCCTTCTCCCTGGGAGAATTCGTAGATTCCGCGGGCGCTCCTATCTCCGCAAGGATTCCTGTCCAAATCTTGTATAAGATAATTGTTCCCAGTGGAATCCACAGGCGCCCGATTTTGTTATGACGATTCTTTCTATATTTTGTATATGCAGCATTGGTGTTTTCTTGCGCACGGCTGCTGCGGTGCGCACAGGCGCCGTGGTGTACACATGGGGTGTTTTGCACGCAGGCACTTTGGTGTACACGCGTGCTGTGTTGCACACGGCTGCTCAGCTCTGGTGTACACAAGCGCTGCGGTGTACACAATCGCTGTGGTGCACGCAGGCACTGTGGTGCACACTGGCGCTGTGTAGCACGCGGCGGCTGTGGTGTACATAGGCTCTGTGGTGTACACAGGCGCTGTGGTGCACGCGGCCAGTGGTTCACGCAGGCGCTTTGGTGCACATCGCCACCGACACGCTGCTCCTACCCGTTTTCGGTCACTCCTGGGCATTCCCAGACGCCGCCGGCGCGAAACGTGACGTCACCGCCCCCCTTGTCCCCCGTTTCGGTGACGGCCGTCATCGCCCCCGATTCGAAAGCAGGTTCCAGTGGAAAACCACTGGAGCATTGCGGCGGGGAGCGACATTTACAGAACAAAGACCGGACATTCAGCGGATTATCCCTCAGTGCCCTCGCGTTCCTTCCGTGGCCCCGACTGCCATTCATAACCTTCTCACAGCCCCTGTCCGCGCCTCTGCCCACACCCTGGTTCCGTTGTCCCGAGGCGTGTCCCGTTCGGCCTTGGTTGGGGCCCCCCATCACTGTGCATCCGTTCTGGTTCCTATTGATTTTGGAGCTTGGTCCCACGGCCTACCGTTTGCAGGTGCCGCCTGCACAACTTAGCCTACAGTGCGCAGGTGGCGCCCCCGCTCGTTCCAAACATTCTTCGATCATCGAGCTCCCAGCCATGGCGCAGCTTCCAGCGGTTGCTCCTACTGGCGGCGGCGGCGGTTGCCACACGTCTCGGTGGAGGCGTGCGGCAGGAACCACACACTCCGAATCCCCTCCGCTTGCTGCTGGCCTTCAACATGGCGACTCAGTTGGAGGGAACAAGCAGATTGTATTCAAGGATCGTTGAGTTTGTGGGGCCTGCGGATGCCAGAGGAGTATGTGGTCGTGTTCCTGGTGCAGACATTGTCGCTCGCCCTGGGACTGCGAGACCAGCGATTGGAACGATCCCGCCAACAAGAAGGCCCCCACCACTCCTGTCAGTGGCAACGGTCAGCCGCCGTCAACCGGCTCGTTGCAGGGCATCTGGCCATTGGGCGTTGCGTAATGGGGGGGTCATAAATTGGGGGGTGGCGAGGGTGGTCCGAAAGGGTACCCAAACGGTACCTAAACGAGCCCCCTGGGGGTCCGGAGGGGCCCGAAAGGGGCACGAAAGGGGACCGTTTTTGACCCCCCCATTTGTGACCCCCCCATTAAGCCACGCCCAAGGCCATAGGAGATCGAACAGCTCGTGGTGCTGCTGGAGAAAGGAGGATACATTTCTTCGGCCACGCGCGACAGGAAGGAGGCAGAGGCACTGCGTGCTCCTGCTCCGGAGATGCCTTTGCAGTTCCAGGTCGATGTCGCTCACTCTAGGCTGCGGCAGTTGGAGAAGTGACTCCAAGTATGTCGCCAAGTGAGGAGCAGGCCAGAGCTTTCCAGGTTCCGCGCGTAAGTCGTGGTAAGTTCTGAGATGAGCTGGTCCAGGCAGAATCTACCACAAGATGCTCGTCTCGACTTTGGCAGCAAAAGACATCCTTGGTGTACATTTTAAGAAGGCCTTCGCAGTGGACGTCCTTTCTCCCCTCGAAGCTGAGCATGAGCTTGGCCCTCTCAGATCGCCAGGAGCTGCCCCGTCGCTCCAAAGTGTTGGCCGGCGGCATCAAGGCCATGTACCGAGCTACTCCGGCGTGCCAAGGAGTCCACTGACAAGCTCCGCGAAGAACATGCCGCGCACCTCGAGCGCATCCGCGAAAACAAACTTCAGCGCGTTGAGGAAGTGGAAGAGGAGGCAGCGCGGGCCATGCGTGTTGGCCACGGCATGCGGTATGGGACA